TTCTTTGTATATGGCCTGAAACTGTGCATTCTTATGTAGAAAATCTATATCATTCTTGTTTAAATCCATGCGTTCTATTAAATGCTGTCTCATGTCGGTCCTGAATTTTACAAATGTCCCAATTTCAGTTGCCCCTCTTACACTCAGTATATCTATTTCATTTGGATCATCAGCGGTGCAAATTTGCATTGTGAAAATACTTATGACGAAAGCCTTCAATTGGTCTACTGACGCTTTCGAGTTTCTCTTCCACAGACTTAGCATTAGAATAATTATTCTTGAAGTCTCATCCAATTCTTCAGGTAAGATTTCTACCATGTCACCAAATACTGCGAACAAAAGAGATTTTCTTGTAGGTGTGTCAAGTGTTTCAATCTCGGCAATATGCGGCAACGTCGGGAAATCTGGTAGACTAGTCAATGGATTCACATTTGATACATTATGTTTAACTCTGTGATATTCTTTTATCTTTCTCTCTTTCTTAGGACTTTGACCTACCAAAATTTCGTATATGACACGTCTGATTCCTTTCGAGGAAGCAAATGAAGGAGGATTCCTGCGGTCTTCAATCTGGGATTTGAATACAAATCGCTTGTTTATTGCTATATTCAGTAAAAACTTGCTGTTAATGTCACATTTGATCACATCCCGAATAAAATGTTCAGGCAAATCACCCGCGAAAGTACTTCGACTGAAAATTGTATTTAGTACCTCTTCTGATACGTCAGCACCAGCGCCTTTCTCCGCATTACAGTTAACATTGCAATATGACATGACAGAATTTTCAAAAGTATTTTTTGCATCGTCTGATAGCTGTCCTTTAAGATTTGTAAAGGCCTCATCTCCATTACTAAACCTTGCCCTGCATAGCCAATTTATAGTGAATTGTACAATACTTCGTTTTCTATCACATTGTGATTTGACTGCAAACATTGACAGCATATCAGTTTCATCTCTCGGGCTTTTAAAAGTGTTACTTGAAAAATCTACATAATCATTCCCGACCAGTGTTGCGAAAACAGGTAAAATGAAATCATCGGCTTTCATTTTAAACTTATTCATCAAAACTTGACAATTGTAGATCTTAGTAGGCAAATTGTCTGTGCTTTGTTGCAGTGCAGGCAGTAAATCATCAGGATGTATGCAACCAACTTTCAGCTTAAACACATAGAAATCACTGTCGGCGCTTAAAACTGGACAACCAAACTTATTTGCTAAGAACGCTATCTCCCTGTCGGCTTCAAATAAGCAAGACGCGTGTGATATTCCAAGCTTTACAAGAACACTTCGGAAATTTAAGTCTGCTAAGAGGGGTAGTATAAATGGCTCATCATCGTATGGCTCATCGTCATATGACTCATTGTCGTCCGATACTCCACGGATTATCTGCTGCACGATATTTTGAACATTTTCTGATTGCTGATCAAGACGTTTCTTATGTGTTTTTAATTTTAAATTTGATGGATCATCGGCTCCGTCGAAGATAACAATCGGATCAACATGACAATTTGTCAATTTTAAGAAAAAATTCTCACATTCTCTTGCAAAATGATAATAGTCTCCTCCAGATCGAAAGGGAATACCAAAGAACTTATATAGAATGTACACCAAATTTGAACCGTCAATTATCAACTTAGTTTCCCGTAAATTATATTCACAAAGGAACTTTGTTTTTCTCTTTCTTATGTACGTCTGTAGACCTCGTACGCCCATTCTGTTAACCTTATAAACATATGCGATTTATTGTAGATATGAACGTTTCAATAAGTTATTCAGGTGCATAACATTTTGTCGTTATAATTAATTTCACTAGAATTTATATACATGTACATATCACCCTTTCAAATATATATTTACAAGTAAGGTATATAAACGTAGGCTTTGTGCTAAGTATGAAAAATCCTGTTTTAATTTTGTCCTTTATGAACATTAAAACGAAATGAAGAAACTCGGTCTTTTGTGATTAACTGACATTTGACAGGCCTATTGTAAACTTCATGACACATTAAACAATGCGTATAATAGATAATATTAAAATCGATTTTAGTGTCTTGTATTAAGTCAAACGTACATTCAATACGATATTCTAAATTAAAAGTCTAACCTACATGTAAAACAAAAGTTGTAGTAATTCAATACAAAGTCATACATACGATTCCTTTGCGTATTAAATGTATCTTTTTCTTCTTACCATGTGTTCCCTTTGGGTTATATCCCTGCGTGCTAATGCCCACATGTGCATAAGGTTTGTTTGTTTGATGGATAAACATTGGTGTTTTTATCAGTATCAACACTTTAGAAAAGTTGGCCATTCTTTTAAACATGTAACAATTCAGCCAGTAGAGCAAATTATTTACGATTCTGATACATCGCCTAGTTTAAATGTAAAAGCCAAACACTTAGCTGAATAAAAATGAATTAAAAATTTACAAATTCTTTTTCCGTTTGGCCTAAATGACAACATGCGGAAAGGAAAATCTCGATCCCCCATGGATTACGTAAAAATGGTTACATCAAACGTATATCAAAAATTACTATGTCTGTTGTCGATTAAAATAAAATTTTGACTAAGTCGGGTAAATATGCTATGTTTATCATGTCTTATTAATATTTGTTTTGTCTCTTTAAACTTTAGACGAAGAAGCTGATAACATAGTTATTCAAACTAATTGCAATATAAAATGCAGCCATCTTATACACAGTTTTAAAACCTTGAAGTTACTTTTCTAAACAAAGGTAATCAAAAGATTTTTCAAGATTTATTGATAAGTCTTTAGGCCTCTGGCCCATAAACATTTACAACATATATACATAGACAGTGAGTGATACAGACCTGTTTACATACAAAACTACCAGTACTTCAGTATTCATTGAAAATATCTAAGTAACATTGTCTTTTATCTAATGCGTAGAACAAGTACATTGCAGTGTTTCTAATTTCATTGTTGTTAGACATTTATGAATAAAGTTTATCAAGTGTTGGTAGCATTCTGTAATTTTCCGAAATATATTGGCAGCGTTTATCATTATATAGAGGACAGATTGAACATTAAAAATGTTAATTCGTCCTCTATTGAAAGTTTCATAATTAAGGAACATTACGTTCCTCTCTACTTAAAAAGCCATAGTTTTCTACCTGTTTTCAATAAGAAAGATATTGAACAAAACATCTAAAACGAAAGCAAAATTATTTTCGAAATTGGACAATAATCCAGTACAATGTACGTAATATTTCAACTGTAATTTTGTTTTATATGATGAATAATATGTCAATTTCTTATTAAGCATACATTTGGCATTCCAATTTTGTAGATATTGATCTTTTAGTCTATTGACATACAGATTTAAAAATCATCATTAATATATTCATTTTGGTTTTCCCAAATATAGCCAAATCCATTTCTAATAGTAATAATTTCATCGATTTTTCGTGATAAGGGCGATACTCACTCGATTCCTAAATATTTCCAAAAACTCTGAGATTCCATTTATTTGCTATAAATATAAATCACCTATAAAAAATATCATATTCGTTGAATCTAATACACCAACTAGTTAATACTGCAAAAAATCAATATTCTGTAATTAAGATTTTGGCCATATTATCACCGGTAATTTTGGTATAATAAACGATAAGAGAATCCTTAATTTATTTCTTAAAGGAACAAAATATAGAATTCCACCCTATATTGAGTTTATTGCATTGCATGTCGTAGCCAGATAGCTGAATCGATCGCGGTCTTTTCGGTTAAATGGTGTCCTCGCGAAACTGCTGATAATAATGCACTTATTCAGGGAAACATAATATATTTAAAATTATTGAATCACGTATCAAACTTTATCATGGGAATGAACATGTTTAAACACCTAAACCTAGACTTTCTATACGACATCTTAGAAAGGATATATTATCGTTCCAGTCTAAATTTTTTTAAGTTCGGGGGACAAGGCGGCCAGTAAATAATTATTGTATGTCGTATTCATTTTACAAGTTTGCTTCTTTAAAAAGAAAGCATGCGATAGTTTCTTTTGCAGCTGTTGAAGATTTGTTGATTCGAAAATATTCTGAGATATTTTTGCATAAAAGGCACACTGATGTTTATAAATTACAATTATTTAACAAAATAGAATTTGTTATATACATTGAATATAGTATCATAATAGAAGCTTTTTTTCACTTATTTTTTTAATATTTTGAAAGATTATATGCCGGAGAAATGAATATTTTCTTGACACATCAGTGATATTTTTTCTACAAATGAAGCAATTTATGTTATGTCATCAAACTAAATTTAAAATAAATGATATATATTAAAAGTAGAATCAAAGTAAAAGTTTCTTATCAAATTTTCGATTGTTTTGGTGAATATACGAAAACTATTCCTCTGCAACAGAACGGACATAACCTATGTTTAACAAACATTTTAAGTTTGGAAAGCTGCATGCCTCCAACCACAATATTTCAAGAAAATCAAACTTGAGAAAAATGTGTGCCATTTGCGCCAAAATAATCTCCATTGCATAAACTTGTATGACTAAATTAAATTGAGTGGCAAATGCTTTAACAATTAAAAAAATAAAGCTACGATAACTTAATCATTATGCAATATATATATTTAGAGTAGATTACGAACAAGAGATACAAAAATGACAAGTACGAAATTATGAATCAATAACAAATCTAATAAATAATTTAAACCTGTACTATTTAGCACAATTAGTTGAGAGCTGATTATTAATTCAATATACATAAATATTTTTAAGAAAAAAAATCATGCAGTATTATAATTTGATTAAAAAAGACTATTAACAGGTTATATGACCATGTATAAACAATTGGTTAATAGTAATATATGGTTTAATAACTTGCTATTTAATATATAAGTTTTTATCCAGGATATATTTTAGTTTGAAGCCTTGACTAACAACCAGCAAACTTTTAAAACATGTATTTATTTTTAGTTGCACCATGTATTAATTGACTGGTTTTGTGATTGTAGGGATTCTAGTCAGTCTATAGATGGGAGTCCAGTCTACACATTTGATATGCCAGCACTCAGTGATCATCTTAGAAGTCAGGGAGAAAGCAATAAATCAGCGTCGTATTTTAATATAGACATACTTAAATATCAGGTAAGATATGATTTCTTGGTCCCTGTTCATAAAAGATATATACTTAAATTTTGATGGACATGATGATTAATTTGATACTTAAAGTATTGGGTTGTCCAAAAGAACCATCCTCTTTTTTATAGCCATAATCTCAAAATAGTTGCAATACACATGTAAAAAAGTTGAATGATTAAGTCACTTATTCGCTGCATTGCAGTTTGAGAGTGAAATTTTAAAATTACATCACAAAAGGCATTCCTATGATCAGATAATCTTTTCAAAATGATTTGAATAAAATTCATTAAAGGGCAAGTTGAATTTTATATTGAATGGTTTTGAAACATTGATACCACTTTCTGTTTTGTGAAACGTTTTTTGTAAAATTGCAGGGTTTTAATATTCTAAATTTTGGGTATTTTGTTTTTATTTTTAAAGGGGCCCAAAGGGGGGAATTTTTAAAGTCCCCCTTTGGGGCCAGTTGTTGTATATGGAAAATTTTGAGGATACTTGTACAAACTATAGACTGGATTATAGATTTAATCCGTCGGCTATGACATCAGGGGCAACATTAAAAAATATCAGTGCGACAGTTATAGTAGATGGAGGGGTGACCAACATGCAAAGTATACCGGAGGGCAACTGGTATGTTAAACTATTTTTAAATGAAATGCTTAGCTATTACAATAAGTTATGTAGTTAAGAGATTAAGTTGTGACAATTCATGTTTGCCATTTATGTGTTTATTTAACTACCTCAATTGTCTATGCCCTGTCCATTGTCTTAGGGACATTAGATTTTCTTTACACAGCTGTCGTGCAGAAGGAATGGATCTACTTTAACTAGTTAACCAATAAAAGTTGCATGTAACCTTATCAATGCAGGTGTGATTTAAAACCTACCCAAATAAACTTGTTGTAAATGGTTATTACAAATTATGTTGAAAACTACATAGATCTGACCGATGCATATTTAGACCTATAGTCTTTTTATTCAGGAATAGTGAGACCAAAAGAGCTACATGGAAGTTAAATGATATATCTGAAGTGAGTGAAAGTGGTACTTCAGGCTCCATACGTGCCAAGTTAACGCTCAGCAACGGGAAATCTACTCCATCGACAACGGCCATACAGTTTCTGTCTGAGGGTGCCACTCTATCGGGAGTCGAGTTTGAACTAGTTGGATCAGGTTATAGAATATCACTGTCCAAGAAAAGATTTGGTGCAGGTAGGTCAAGATATTATGTATAACTTATATTGGTAATAACTCAAGTTGGCTGATAACATACTTGATAAGTAGCCTCTGGCATTGAGTACTTGTATATACATTAAGTTTCTTGAATAATCATTGTTGAAATAATTTTAAAAAAAAACAACAACAACAAAAAACACATAAAAGTTTCATGATTTGGTGGGTTACTGATTTTAACATACTTATCTTCAAATGGGGGGGGGGGGGGGTTAGCCACCAGTATAGAGTCAGGCTGGTCCGACCAGCCTCATTACTGGTAGCTGATTTACTAAATTTTTATCTTGATATCCCTAAAATTGATAATGAACAGTTCCAAAAATGGACATTTGGATTGTCCATTTAAGAAATACAGCATGATTATTGTTTAGAAAGATTAGACTGGTTATTTTATTTCCAGGTAAATATTTAGCTGACCCAGACCAGGGAATGAAATAAGTTTGACAGGGACACAGTCTACATAACCAAATAAGGAGAACCATTCCAGTCTACTGATCTCACCAATCAGATTCCAGTTAACGTTTTCAAATCAACCAATCACAATCATTCTAATAATTATAGAATTAGTAAAATTTTACATTTGTTTTTTTTTAACATTTACTGTGAACATCTTAAAGACATTAATTCATATACAATAGGAAAACTGAAATCAAAATGGTCTCGTTTTTAATAAAAAGTAAACATTTGAAAAACAATTTTACTGTGAACAGTTTTGTGGTATTGTTGAGCTGTGGTACTTTACCTGATGCAAATGTTGGTGGTCAATGGCACCAGTTATTTAAAGGCTAGCATGTTTTTTATGCTGTCCATGCTACAGTTTGATACTTCAATCTGCTCAACGCTGAGGGAAGAATAAGTTCAGAACCGATTGTAAGTGAAGAAAGTGATTGCAGCAGTAATAAATGCAATGCATTATCAAAATTTTACCATTAATTTTAATGTGATAAATTTATGATCCAATATTAAGTGTAAAAATGATATTATAGTACCTTTATAGACTATTCCTTCATGCATGAAGTCTAATGTCACAAAAGATTTGGGGTGGGGGGGGGGGGGGAGAATCCCTGTTTGTATAAAAAAAAAATGTTCAGGTTGAATTTCAAAAATTGTGTAATTGATATTTGATACTTTATGTAAATATTGGCTTTAGATTTAGAGAAAAAGAAAAAAAGAATTTTTAAGTGCAATGGAAATGTCCTAGGAATTGACATGTTGTTAATAGTTAGCATTATGTTTTTAAGGTGATCATGCACTATATATTCAGGTTTCAATTCATTGTTCAATTTATTGTTTATAACCAGGTTGTATAGCTCAATCTATTTATAGAAACAGGTAACTGTAGCTTTTGTGTGGTTTCTTCATTCACTGGCCTAAATTGAACCAACTTAAAGATGGTTTTTACTTTTCAAAGCAAAAAGGGTTGTACTTGTTTGTAATATTAGAAGAATAAGTCTTCCACATTTAGTACTTTACCAGTTTTGTATACTTTTTAATTGCCAGGAAACCAGAGGCTTTTGTCATACATGTTTTAAACATGAATTAATTACTAGTATTAATGAATTTGACCATTAGAGTGAACAAAATAGTCACTGCTATGCCACAAGCAAACTCTAGACCAGTTCGAATATCTGTGCTGTCTGATTGGGTTATAAAATGTTGGTTGCTCAAAGTAATGATTGTGTTTTGTTTTGTTTTTTTATTTTGTAGAAACCTTTAATTGAACAAGAGTTGATAAATTCGAATCTGGACATGTTAATTGTACAATAAAATTAATGATTTGCTTGAAAGCTGCCAAATGACACAACTTGGTTTAGCTTAATTATATATAAATTTTATCAGAAGAAAAGATTGACGTCATAAGTTTAAACATATACGATCCTTTTTTTGCTCTCAGATATACACAGCTTATAACTTATAAGATATGTGGCAGTTTTATAGTTATAGCCTGCTATAATTTTTAACTATATCACTCAAGAGCTGTTAATATTAAGTATGGTCGAGGATATAAAGGCAATGTTGAATATGGCTGAAATGAACCTAAAGTTCCATAGGTTATGCTTGATTTGTAACAAATCTGTAAGATTAGAAGAAACTTGATTCATTTACATGCATTTATTAATATATAAGATATTCAATGTTAGTGACAAAATGATTGGTAATTTATATGTTATTTTTATATATAGCAAATAAACAATTTGATTACTAGTTTGATTTTTATCTGTTCCAAAAGTACAACATGTGTTTTCACGATGAGAAAATAATTATTAGGTTTGATTCTGTTTTTCCTATGTTTTGAATAAGGTTTACTATATAACTTATTTTTCCATGAAATAGACAATATAGTTCCATGAAATAAACAATACAGCAGAATCGTAATAATAGCTTTGGAATCCGGATTGAGAACTTGAGCGTAATTTTGTTTGACACCTATTTCATACTAATAAAAATAAATATTTCAGTAGTGAAGAATATTTGAGATATCAGATAGTTAGATCTACTTGTTGTTGATCAAGATATCTGGTCATGGAATGTTATTCCTGCATTTGTTGATATTTTTAATCGGGGAATGTGCAATAGATAATCTTTTCACTATTTTTTTTTTGTCTTGTAACAAAAATTTTGGTTTGTCTCTTTCATTAGCATGTGTTTTGTTGTTGTTATTTTGCTTGCATATGAAATTTCTACGATATAAGACAAAGTTCATGCATCAACAAAGGGTTTTATGTTAAATTTAGTAAGCATGATCCTCTGATGTTTGATAAATGATTCTTTTTCTTTTGTGTAATTGTATTTTTGTTTTTTATTCAAAAACAAAGTCCAAATATTGATTAGCTTTGAATTTTGTCACAAAATGGCAACATTTTGCACCACTATTATTATTATTTGTTCTGTAATTGTTTTGATTATAATCAGACATTACTGCATTGTAAATTGAAAATTTGAGAAAAAAGGAAATTTCAAATCTCAATGACATAATTTTTTTTTAGTAACAAATATGCTAGGAATTTAAGGGTTCTAGTGTTACTTTGATTAAACATTATTAAACATTAAAGAATGTTTTAAATCAACTTAAGATACAGTTATCCCTGTAATGAAGACCACCTTTGTAAGGACCTATACAAAGACCAATAACTACAAACATTTTTGAAAATTAAAGTCCTTTTTCCATGTGTATTCTTGCAATGAATCAAACTTTTTACCCCTTAATTTATTCCACTTTATGAACACTAAAATTCATTGGTCTGGTACAAAGTGTTATAACTGTCATGGCATAAAGGAGTCAAAACTCATTATTTACCATTTTCCAAAGAATTGAAATGTATTCAGTTCATGTTTAAAGGCAAGGGACTGATAATTAATAAAAATACTAGTAAAACAAGTTCACATAAACGTCCATTTGTCTGAAGAAGAGCAACCTACCCCATTCCAATATTTTTGTATGTCTGCAGAAGGTGAACATCAAATTTTTGATTTGCCAGTAAGTCTGTTTTGTTTAAGACTGTTTTAGATGATTATTACTATTCAACTTTACCTTATTGTAAAGTGCCCATGTTGTTATGTCCCCAATACCTAAATAAAGGTTATCAATAAAGGTGATCATTGCTATTCCCCAATACTTTAAGTAGAGGTGATCAATTTAATCTCCTATGATGCTAAATATAGTTGGTCAGTGATATCACCTTATACCCAGTTGATGTTATCCAGAACTCAGCATATGTGGGTATTTCCATGCTTCTCCCCTGGTCACGACTTCTACCATTCTAGCTATGGTGCACTAATGGTCACAATAGATAAGTCAACCTGTTGCACTTAATTTCGAAGGTTTGTTTGCACCCAGGATTGGCTGGGAAAAACCCAAATATTCTTAATTTCAGAGTAAGTCTATTATATATAATGTTTTCCCATTTATTTCATTAAGATAAGGTTCGTGGCATATATGAACCTGTTTGATTTTTATAGACGACACAACTTAAATCAGTAAATTCAGTTTTACCATAAGGTGGCCATTTATTTCAGGTTTAACTGTGTATTATGTTATTTCTATAGAAATACACAGTGCTTGAAGAAAAACTGCCTTGTTGATTTATTTTAATAACTATGTTATTGAGTCGTTGAATGTTTTGTTTTGTTATTTAAATGCAAGTGTGACAATTAAAAATTTTATGTTACGAGGTTATTTTGGTTGTTGTATTTTTGTTATTATTTAATGATGCCATAAAATTGTTATTAATTAATATTCAAGATGCGTTTCCATGGTTTTGCATGGAGGTTCAGTTGAAATAAATAAATAAAAATGATATACTGTATTGTACATTCATAATATATTCTTTGTACATTTATAAATTGTAACATTTGTATTAAAATGATCCAAACATAAAATTGAAGTTAGATAGGTTGTTTTTTTATTTACATTCTCAGTGTATATTTTAATAGGAGACATGTTGCAAACACTACTTTTTTCATGTAGGGGCAACAGTAACGTAAATCGATTAATATCAAAGAAATGCCAGAATTTTTTAATAATATTTGTAGATTTTTTAGACATTGTTGTAAGGTTTAGGACGAGATATTAGAGTTTATTAATATATATTTATATTAGCATTACGATTACATTGCATTTTGTACTAACCAGGTGATATATTGGGTTAAGGAAAGCCATTTAATTTTGTGGTCACGAATTGTATAGTTCTATCAAAGCCAATAGTATTTTATAGGTAGAAAGAGGAGTTTTTATCTGTCGTAGGATATTCATTGTTATTTCTCATAGATGAAATTGAACCCGTGACATAAGCATAAACAAACCAGTTTCTTTTGCCTGTTGGTTGAATTTGAAGGTTAAATTAGGACTGGCATTATTGATTTTTTTATTATTAAAAGGCATTGTCTACTTAGAATGATTTTATACAGAATTATTAATGGAAAGTGATTTAGTCTTCGTCACAGTATGGAGCCAGGCAAACATGCATGTCTGTGCTCTATACTGTTGGTAGGCCAATTTCTGTATTTTGATATTGGAATACCTTGTACTTTGAACGGACTGTTCCAAATTCAATGTAGGGCAAATCCATTATAAAAATAGCATGTTAAGGATTAAAACAGTAATTCGGGGCTTACTATTTGTATTGCTGTTTCATGTCACTTTTTCCATGTATCTTTCTTAATTATATCAATGTACATGTATATATATTGCAAGTCAAAAAATTATTAAAAAATGTTAAGTTGAAAGAATTATTGATAACAATAAACTTATAGTGATGATTTTCACAGTATTTATTAAACATGAATACAGAACAGTTTGTTTGTTATCTTTTTTGTAATTGCACATTACTGTTTTTAAAGAAGTGATAGAGCTGTTTGATTCATATGCTATGGCCACTTTTCTAGTGCTCACTTAGTTCTGGTTTTTTAGCTCGACTTCACGAAGAATAATCGGGCTATGCTACTCTCAATGTGCATCGGCTAGTCCAACAACTTGATCCAACTATGTACAAATATCTAACCAACCACTGAAAAATTGTCTTGTAACTTCAGATCATTAATGGATGTCATACAAGAATTTAGTAATTCCTGGTTAAAGTTTTGTGTGA